ATTTACAAGCACTCTCTCTAAACGGTTGTACCTAATTTACCCAACTGTGCTGCTGTGCTACTATGAGATCCCTTACTTTGCAAGTCACTTTAACTATATTTGAGATCATCAATCATCATCTCTCTCTAGTGAGGCCCACACCATGGCACATTCATTGATATTCCCAAGACAGATACTCCAGCTCTCTCACACCACAACCACACACACACACACACACACACCCCTTTGTTTTTAGGGTTTGGCTAGCTTCGACAAATACAAGCTCCTCTCTCACTCCATTCTCTGTGTGTGTCTGTGTACGCTCCGTTAGGACCCACAATCCACTCGCATATTTGCTGTGATAGGTCACTGCTTTTCAAATCACCCAGTTCTCAATCATCAGCTATTATTCAGGGTTCCTCTGTCTTTAGTACTCTTTCTTTTACCATGTCATAGAATTTCCTTTTCCATATATGTCACATTTTCAAGAATGTAACCCTAGCTAGACTGGTCCAAGTATTATCTACAAAGACAACAGTTAACATAGGCCAATCGCCAGCCGGATGCAAGTGAATGAACTCTAAAATCTTTTACGTATTGTGCTACAAAGACGTCAAACTTATATACGTATTTGTGTGAGTACAAACAATTTATAGTTGGTATTTACGTGTGCACAAACAATTGTAGTTGGTATATGCTTGTATATGGATTATGAATTCAGAGAGAGTGTTACTTTCACACTACTAGCTAAGTTGTGGAGAGTTTACTAAGTGCACGTTTTGGTGAATGTGTGAAGTGAAGCATGTGGACAGGTTGCGTGAGAATAGAGATGTCCAAATACACAGAGAGAGGGGAAATCATTGACATTGGCACATGTAGTGGAGAGGTTACCTTGTCATGTATCCTCTCCCATTATTCTTCTCCACATTTAAATATTCAGTATATGCTCAAAACGAGAGCTAACTAACTAAATAATAGCGTGACTTCGCTTCTTTTATAAAGATTCTCTTTATTGGCTACTCTATCAAATTATCAATCATATAGATTAGGAAATAGTTTATTAATTATGAAGAAAATAACAAGGTCGATAAGTCTTTGCTTAGTTTATGTCAAATGCTCATTATTTAAAAGAAATCACGTCATATATTGTATTATACAGCCGTATACGTGGTAAATGAATTGGAAGTATTTTACACTTAGTCTAGTTGTATTTCGCACACAATATGATTAGTATAAGTACATTACTAATATTTAAAATGATCAATATTTTGTAATATTTTACAAAAAATTGCATTCCTCTAAATTTTTACCATACTATCATCTATAACTCCTATAGTCCTATGAATACCAAACATCTCTATCTCCATATAGATGCCGTAGATTAGGCTTTTTTTTTTTTCAAATATAAAAAGTAGATGCCCCTTGAACTCGCTTATATGTAAAGATGCGATACTTCAACTCTAAGTCATTTTCGTGGTATCAAAATTTGTGCAACCCATGGAGGTTGAAATTTATCCTAAATTTTTTTTTTTTTTTTGAAAAAAACATTATTATTTACACTAAAGAGGTGGAGGAATGCGCTAAGCCTTATAATGGAGAGTCATATAATAATGTGATTCAAATTTGTCTTTCGCAAAAATCGAACCTAAGACCTCTCACTTACAAGTGAAGAGGAATACTACTAGACCGTAGTACTAAGTGACCCATAAAAAGCATGTATTTAGATTGGCAAACTTTTTTCTTCGTGCAATTACAAAGTTAGGACACTTTTTTTAATGGGCTTCATATTTGATATCACACAATTCCTACTGCTGCTAGAAATGCCCGTATTTTCGACTTAGACATTTAGCTGTTTATTTATCTATAAAAAACAAAGGAAAATATATTTTCGTAATTTAATGAATATTGCCAAGTAGACATGGATTCCTTGATACATCCTTTCCTTGTACACGGAAGTGAAAATTTTGATCTCTTTGCATAGAGTATACAACATCGTGTACCACTCAAAAAGTTCAAAGAACCCCACTGCCAATCGCAACGAGGCAGCACAACATCGACACAAAAGTTGATCCATTCATACATGTCCTAACGAAAACGAAGTGGTTTTGTCAGGTTTGGCTCCTATGTTATGGAATGTGACTACTTGTGGACACTTCTCACTTCACATACTCGAATTAGATATGTCGAAATAGTAGTGTGGCGTGCTTTCCAACTTCACACAGCTGTATGGCCACGAATAAAAACCCACAGGCGCTGAGCTCCTCCAATGGCATAGCATGCAAGCTAAACTACCAAAAGCAAAGACACCCAGAAAGGATGCTGTGGTGGCATTGACATATGTATGGCCATTGCTTGCTTAGAGACAAATTAATTAGTTAATTAATTAATCTTGTCTAATTAGCTGTCGCACTGTCCAGAAATGGGTATTTGCCGGCCATTCTTGTTGCAATTGAAATTGCAGCTAGCCAATTGTTTTGCTGGCTTAATTACTCCAACTTTTAATCACATTGGACTCAACTAAATTATTAACAAAATGGGTTAGTCTGGTGTTGCATGAGTGTGATACAAAAGTCGTGATCTTTTTGGTTATTTTTCTTATGGTTGTCATTACTTGGTTTGGTGAGATATTAAGTACCTAATCTCTACTACTAATCAGCTGGTTCACATATTTTGGTGGGTTAGGTTTTTTCATGGTCATGGACTCTTGGTAGTTGTGTTAACAAATTAAGAGGAACTTATTATCGTGATGCTAAAATTTGTCACAATTTGTAAAACTTGTGTTCTTTGCTATGTTATTGGTCATTTTGAAGTGTATTCTCTAATTCTTAGTTCATTGACTGAATCGAAAAAATATTGATACGCTACCTAGATCACTGCATGGTGAAAATGTCACATCTTGTCAAAGACTATGAGAAGAGCGACAAAATTGGAGTGCAATGGGGAACATTGTTTTAACCAATTGACCTAATACACGTTTGAAAATTAAATCCCACAAAATTAATAAATTAATGGCCTAAAACCATCTCCAAAGGGGATGTCAAATTTTAAACATAGAATTTAAATTTGCAGACTTATGTGATAGATTTTTTTTTTTTTAAATTTTGTTTTCCAACTGATATGTCAAATTTAAACTATTATTTATTACTTTATTTACTTTTTATAGTTGTAATTAGTATTTTTAAAACAAAAGATAAGAATAAAAATTATGAAAAGCATTAATTACTAAAAATAGATATAAAGGTGTTGTCAAATTTGACATCAACTTCCTCTACTGTCATTCCATGTTATGCCACATAGGAATTGACATTTCTGTTAGAAAACACTAATGATGTCTTTTTTTTTACCGTTATTGATGATGTGGACTTTTTGATATCTCCCTTGAAAATGTTCGAAGTTGCTGATTTTTCTAATGATGTATATTAATTAGAAAGTGTAGAAAGGCAAAACATGGAGCATGGGAAAATTGAATTAAATGTCTTATCTCTTCAAATATGTGGGTGTGTATATGCCATGGTGTAGCCGAATTTGAAAGTATTGTACGGGGTCATGTTGCCTGTTGGGCTTTGGAAAATTTGAGATGCGTAGATGCATGACACCTTTTTGTTTTTTTTGTTGTTTTTTTTTTAGGTATATGATTCACTTTTTGATGAATTAAGATATGTGATTTGAAAGCCAGAAAGGTGATTGGGTGCACAAAAAATGGTAGGTCGGGGACGTTTTTTAAGGGTAATAACACCAAAGAGGCCTAATCTTGATAAGAAAGATGGTATGAAGCTCAGTTTTTGTATTGATACACTTTTTTCAGCTATTTCACATGAACTAAAGATTTTGTGTGAGAAAGTGACTATCTGAAGGTGGAGTCTTGATAATGTCTTAATCCGAGCTCGAGTATAGTATTCGACTTAGTTCGGCTCATTTACAACCTAAACGAACGTGTAAACAATTATTGGCATATATAACGCTTCATAAGTGCAAACTAAAAGATAATTTCAGGCATAATAACATTCGTGTTACTTCCGTTCTAAGAAGTCTCAAATAGAAAGGTGAAAAGCAACCACTTCCCCACAGAGCCCAACCAAGTTAGGGATTCATCAAATAAAAATTTTCAAAACATGCACTTAGTGCAAAAAAAGAAAAAAAAAGAGAATTTTAACGAAAAGCTCCTGGTATTGTTTGCTTTAACAAAAAATCACATTTTTATACTAAAAAATCAATTATGGTACTATTCATTTTACCCTTTATTTTGTTCTTATCGTTAAGATTCAAAGTTTTCAAGCACTTTTCATTAGTTTTTCTAAAAAAATAATGAAAAGGCTAAGGTGAAAAAACAAACATGTTGCTGCCCAGGATCGAACTGGAGACCTTTAGTGTGTAAGACTAACGTGATAACCACTACACCACAGCAACCCTGTGATAACCATGTAGAAACTATTAAATAAAAAACCTTTCCATTTATACGGCTAATAAAGTATTAAAAAACAATTAAATAAAAACTAATTAATTATGTTGCTGCCCAGGATCGAACTGGGGACCTTTAGTGTGTAAGACTAACGTGATAACCACTACACCACAGCAACTTCTTGTGTTGTAGATTTTAGCATTTTAATACAGTTCCTTCAGGGTTTAGTTATTTCGGAGACACCTTGTAGCACTCTTAAATTTAATTTCAATGATCCAAATTATTCATTTTTCAAGCTTTTTTTCTTAGATCAATATTGTGAAAAATTGGACAATTCAAAATTAGTAAAACGGATAGCCGAAAACGGTAGTTCAAGAAACCACTTAAATAACAACCATTTCATTGAGTGGTTTAAACGTTTTTAGATTTGAGTTTTTTTTTTTTAAAGGACAATTTTTTTATAAAAAAAAAACCAAAGACCTAACAACTAGACAGTTTGGAACATTCAAATACAATGCAAAGTTGAGCCTGCAAAGACATTATTATAAGCTTTTTTACCAAAAGAAGAGAATTAAAGAATTATTTACCAAAATCTTGGGACTTCTTGGGGTGACAATTGAAGTACCAAAATTTGCTGAGAGGAGGAATTATCACTCACAGGAAACAAATAATACTTACAAAAAAAGTGGTATCTAATCAAAGTAATGAACGCTAAAAATACATTGGCAGGAAAATCAGATTTATACATCTCTATTTTCATTAAATTACATTGCAGCCACCTTCCAATTGGTGCCTATATGAAATAGATGATGTTGATCATACTTTGGCCATGTACATCCTGCACAAACACATCAAAAATTCATCTTCTCCGCTCCCGTGGGTCCTCGAAGATGACTCCAGGAGGTGCTTATCCCTAGTTAGCCGAAACGATGACTCGCACTTTAGCAGTGACTTCTGGGTGAAGCTTCAGTTCTGCAATATATTCTCCTACCTCTCGAATCTCTGGAAGAGAAACAATGCGCTTGTCCACTTCCCTACACATGAACAAAAGAGCAGAGAATGTAGCGTCAGTCGAGCATGGGTGTATTTGGCAAAGACAAAACTACAAACACAAGCATAAAAGGTTTTAACTGCAAAATATCACAATATCTGCTATCCATATGCATATGATTACCGCGAGCTCTTAAACTGCAAAATGCATGAGCATACAATAAATCATCACAAGCTTTCACTGTTTGGAAAAGTTGTGTTCCAGGAATATATTTTGAAGGTATTATCTGGAAGTTCCTAAAGCTTTAATCAAATGCATTGATAGGAACAGCACACACGTATATCCTTCTTGTTTCTTTTCCCTCTTCTTTTTTCTGTCTTTTGTTAGTTATTTTGGAAGTGCCTTCGCCCATGAGCGGTAGGTCTCGGGTTCGAGACTTGGGAGCAGCCTCTCCATAAATGGGGGTAAGGCTAGCCGACATTCACCTCTCCCAGACCCTGCGTAAAGCGGGAGCCTTGTGCACTGGGTACGACCTTTTTGTTAGTTATTTTGGGGGTAGTTGCAGTTTAAAATTATTAATGCTTGTGTTAAGAAACTCCTATTGTATATGTCATGCATAAAAAATTCACAATGACAATAAGAGTGCTCATGGGAAAATTGTGATTGGTATATTGATCATACTCGTACTTGATAAAAGATACTAACCTGTTAAGTTGTGCCTTGATTATGTCAACGAGATCTTGGGGTGTCACACTGCAGAAACATGTCTGTTAAAATTCATACGCAGACAGTGCATGAAGTACTTAACATTGCACTGAAAGCAACTCACCTTCCAAAAATTAACTTCCCTTTTCCACCTTTGCGCTTCACCTTGAAACCTCCAACAGTTTCAAAAATCCGAGCAAGTTGCTCTGCCTCTTCTTTTACCTGCACCAAGATGAAACAATCTTACAAGACATAATTGTTAGGACGAATTCAGACAATATAGAATCTACTACCAAAAGAGGCAACAAGTCAGCTCAGAATTTTTTTGGGTATTCAACGCCACATAGAATGTAATTATTTGCATTTTGTAGCGCTCATTAATCCACTTAAAGATAGAAAGGTATTCTCCAGGTACACTATTTGTGACAAGCAGCTTGGCTGTCTTTCCATGACATGACAAGGGATAGCAAGAAGTAGCATCATTTTATAAGCAGCATATGCTCTTCAGGCCAGCTTAGGATGGCATGATACGTCCAAAGCCCCAAAACCTGAGCCTTAATGAATGATATGTGCATAGCGGTTACCATGATGTATAGAGACATGGAACGGCAAACTGACAGGAGGCACCGAAACAAGGTACATCCAAATCATACTTACGATTTGAGTTACAATAACATCTGTACGGCCCCCGATGCAAAAGGAGACAAATAAATGTGCTATCTAAATACCCGTATTTTCTCTGCCTCAATCCTTTCCTCTTCCACCTTCATTTCCCTGGAAAGAACAATTAAAATTATGGGTAACATGTTCTTAAGATATAATCATTTTTCCCTCAAAATCCAAAGTGTGAATGTCAAAGACTGAGATGTTTCCAATTAATTAGCAGAAGCAACTAAAAAGCATAATAGTTATGCAAATAAAAGTTCACATTTTGATGCAGACAACTTGAGAAGTATTACTATTAGTAACTCACATTGATAACAAATATGAGTATGGATCCAATCTCGAAGTATACAAATAGGTTGACCACTCAAAATTTTTGTGGATTTATTACGAAAGAATTTCAGAGTTAGTAGTATACTCTAAAGGCTATTTACATTTGAGAGCAGTTGCGTAACGATAATCAAGTCTCACCACCACAAACACCATCAACATTTCATACATTACTTTCACAACTTGTATTGTATATGCCTCCTCTATCCATCTCATTATACATCATCTAATCAATTCCGTCAGCATTCTGCATAAGTCCTATCTTATGGATTCCAACTAAAACTTCTTGTCATCAAACTAGTTCGACTCCGTAAGCACAATACAACAGATTCACAAGCCTTATCGTACACTTCAAAATCGAAAATGTGACAAAAATCGAATTAAAAAGTTGAATTTATGCATTACTTGAGCAGCAGGGGAGTGACAATCTGGGCTTTCCCCAATGGCAGCAGATAATTCCTGTAGTAACCAGCTTTCACGCTTAGAAGTTGCCCTTTCTTTCCCAGATCAGTTATGTCCTCCTTTAGAATTATCTGAAACATTCCAACAAAAACAATTAAATTAAACAAACCCCAATAAGACTACATTCAAATTCACTACTATACTTTGAATTAGAAAGAATAAAAGAAAATGGAACACAAAATTGAGGTGGGTTCTTCATTTACGAATTCTGGATTCAGAGAAACTATAAAAATTTGAACTTTTGGGTAACCATTGAAGCACTGGAGAAAAAGAAGAGAACCCATTTCTCAAATTTACCGTTCGAGCCTTCTTTGCTTTCTTCTGAGCGATAACCACCAATCCTGTTCTTCTATCTGACAATTTAGTGGCTTCGTTTGTGTTTCCTGCGAAGCTTTGAAGCCACGAGGAAGAACTCCATGACAGAGTCGATGCTGCGGATGCCATTGTCGCTCTTTTACCCTTACACAGGCTCACACTGCCTCTCTCTCTTGCTCAGTTGCTCTCACGCAGTCTCTTAGGAGTTTTATGGGATTTACTATCTTATCTCTTTCGGCACAATTTGCGTTTTATCATTTTGGCCTCTCTGAAAAATGTAAACTACAAACGTTACCCGCTGATTTTTGTAAATTTTAAAACAGTTGTCTATCAACAACTATCACTGCACTACAATTTGCGTTTTATCATTTTGGCCTCTCTGAAAAATGTAAACTACAAACGTTACCCATTTTGTAAATTTTAAAACAGTTGTCTATCAACAACTATGGAATCGGATCCCTTCGGACCCAAGTAAATTAAGCCTAAGGATCAAAGGATCTGGACTGTTGAAATTTGATATAACGGTTACAATTATTATAACTTTTAGAGGAGCCCCCTGTTTGTAGCTGTTGAATCAAATTTTAATGGGCGGGATCCTTTGCTCAGGAGGCTCAGTTTATTTGGGTCCAGAGGGGATCCGGTTCCAACAACTATCACTGCAATCTCTAGTCATACTTATGTACTTGTAAGGGGAATGTCTGAAATTTGATTTAATTGAACGGTGAGTTCACACACCTATACACCCATTTGTATCTTCCGTTTGTACTTCTCACACATACTTATTTATTGTTTGTCATTGATCTTTTTTAAGTCATTCTATCCACCGCAGAAAATTGAAAAGAGTGTAAGAAGTAAAAATAGTGTTTGGGTAGCACCATCCTAAAATAAAAGTGGACTTTCTCTCTCCATCTAAATGCAAGAAATAAAACCAATATCATGTAGACAAAACTTGACCAACTCGTCCCGTAGTTTTAGGTCTAATTCTCGACAAAGGAAAATTTGAAACACATTATTATGCCCTGCCATTGTAAGGCGTAGCCTACTCTCCCATTCCTTTAGCGTAGATAATATCGTTTGATTAAAAAGAAAAAAAAAGGTTAGAAGAAAGCTTAAATGATCCGATAGCGCCATACCAGTTAGGGTGTACCAGGGCAGGCCCTGAGAATTTAGGGGCCCTAGGCGAGCCTTCGAAGTGGGGCCCTAAAATTCTCTGATCTCCGGTTCTTTGTATATTGATTTGTATAAAAAAGAATTCGCTAAATACATAAAAAGTTCTATTTTTACATTAAATATCATTAAAAATTAATATCAAACGAAGATAAATATACAAACATTATTTAAACATTACACGATTCACATTTTTAGACACAAATGTACTAAATGTTTGCAGTCAAGAGTTTAAGATTGAGAGTGAAGAACAATAAAACTTGATGATCAAGAGAGTAAATAACAATAAAACTTGATTGAGGAGTATAATTAATTCAACGCCAATTGTTTCTCTTGTGTTTTTTTTTCTTCTAAAATCAACATCACACTAACGAATTGAATATTAAAATAATCCATTGAATAAAAAGCTATTGAAAAGAAAAATATAAAATTCAAAGTTTTGATTACCTTAAAGTATAATCTTTAAGACCATATGATAGTCGGTTTAAACATTCGATAGAAATGGAGAGAATGGGAAGTTGGTTTAAACATTTGATAGAAATAGAAAGAATGAGAAGTTGAAAGAAAAAAGATTGCAAAGAGACTTGAGTTTTATAACTTTATAGTAAATTTGAAAAACAAGAAAAATCTAGTGACTAAAAAGCAGCTTCGTGTTTCGAACTCAACACCCCAAAGAAAAATGAAGCCAACATTTTCCACTACACTAACAAATGAATTATGATATTTTTTACTTTTTTTGTATTTATATGTTAATTATAGGATATAAATTTTTTTTGGACCCTTCCGAATTGGGACCCTAAACGGGCGCCTACTTGAGCTACCCTCGGGACCGACCCTGGGGTGTGCGGAAATGATTTCTCGTGTATGAAATGCCAAATAATTAGATTTAAGTTTCTGGCCCAATTTTATTCAGTTCTTCTTTTTAGCCAAGATTTGTAGGCATTAGCCCAAACACCTACCCAACGTTGTCTTGTATTTTGCTAAAGCCCGAGTCTTAAACCGAGTTAGAGCACTCGGCGAGTTGTTGCTTCTTTCATCAGCAATCCGCGTCAGTCGGAAGTGACCCAGGTGATTCAAAACCTCTCTGTTATTTCTTGTTTGCAAACTTAGATTGGAATCCCCCAATTCATTTCTTTATGCAATTTGTTTAACATTAGGGTTTTTCTTCCATTCTATAAATATGATTGTATTGAATTTTGGTTAATATTACCCAATATATTGAAAAATTTGATCTTTTTTGTTTGTTTGTGAATGACTAATTACCTGTTGGGATCAAAACATGCGGAAATTAAATCCATGATTAACGAAGTGAGAGATGTGTTCATTTTTTGTTCTATGAAAATTGGGGCTTGTCAAGCCTTTCAATTTCTTAATGTGAGTTGAAGGGTTATTCATGATTCAAAAAATGTGAACAACTGTGGAGAATTTTAGTTGGAAGTTGTTCAGTGTGATATAACTCCTTTCGGAGACATATGGAGTTCTTCGTTCGACATTACATTAGTCGGGGAAGTTGTAGACTGTTTCTTAAGCTTATTGACTATTCCAGTAATCCTATATTCTTTTTGGAGGAATACCATTATTCCGAATTCTGAAAGGGAATTCTATTTAATTGATATGTTTTCTTCTTAAACACGTTTTATTCTTAAAGCAACTTGTGAGTGTGAATGGTGTTTATACAATCAGGATTCATGTGACTGTTAGTATACTGAAGTGTGTGCATCGGTCTTTGTGGAGACAACCATTGGTAATTATAGAGCTGTGCATTGATGGCATTGACGGATTGTCACTTCTGTGTGCTGTAATCGTGGTTAGGTTTAGAATCAGTCCTAGTGGGATCATGTGCAATGTTCATGCATTGTAACTGCCAACTAGAAGAAACTAAAAAGTATTTTATCCTTCGTTTAGTAGGATCTGAATGTAAGATTTAGCATTTGAGCTGAAAGTAGGGTATTTGTAGGTTTCTTATAGTTTGAAGGTTAGGTTGGCATGGAAAATGTTTAGCTGCTGGATACACATAGGCATACCCCAAATTCCAATCTGTTTTATCAGTTGAGCATTTCCTTGTCCAAATTTACAGTCTGCTGAACATTTCGTTTGATTAATCATGGTGTGTACGTTGGTAATGAAAATAAACTAGATGTTTGTTCTCACTTTGATACTGGGCTGTAATTTTCGGGACAATTTCATGGAAGTGTTCACTTGGAGTATACTGAATGGTTAGTTTCATAGTCACTTAATTTTTCAAGTAGCTTCACTGAAGAATCCAGCTGAATATAACAGTTATGCTCCTTGTTTACTCCATATTTAGTTTCCTGTGTACTCTCCATGGCCCGATCACGGAATGCAATTGTTGCTACTGGCTTGGTAATTTTCGCAGCTGCAGGCTTGGCATTTCCCTTTTACATGGCGTAAGCATATTCTCATTTCAAAGATGGTGACTACACAATATAGATTTATGTTAATTCATCAGGAGAAAGTTAGAATCATGTGGTTTTGTGTTATGCAGGTCATCGCCAAAGCCTGTCATTGACCCATCAAAGCCACTATCACCCCAGGCAACATTTCGAGGGCCTTATATAAACACTGGTTCTCGTGACGTTGGACCTGACTATCAGACCTACCCGAAGAAGTGACCATCATGGTATGATATCTTTTCTTGGGAGTAACTTTAAGTAAACACTAGCGTGCATTATACCTAATCTGAATCATTTTGGAATTTGCTACTCCAGATGAAAGGACTTGTCTGTATTTTGGACCAAGAAGGTCTCTCTTGATCTACAAATCTAGATGACATATAGAGATCTAAGATTCTTCTCGTGTTCACTTTGAATGGAAAGAATAAGCGTAAGAGTTTAAAATCCAGTCCACCGGACATGTATGCTTTAATTTCGTTGTAAACTAATATTACTAGCATTATTATTATTTTTTGTTTCTTTTCTTTTTTCACTGTAAGCCTCATAACCTAATTTCAGATTCATGAAGGAAAATCATAAAAGTTCAAAGAGAAGTAGTATACTTTCTTTAATTGGGTGTAAATTTATGTGGAATGCTAAATAGTATGGGTTCCAGTTTTGCAAGTCTCAGATTAGTAATTTTTTCAGACGAGTTTAGAGGATTTATTCCTGCTCGCCTCCTCGTTTCGAATGAGTTTATTGCTTCCTCACTTCCTGTGGACAATTATGTTGGTTTGGTGGTGAACTTCCTATGGAGATTTGGTTCCTATCTCTTCTGCATATAACATAGCTCAGAATTGATGTTTACTGATCTTTGTTGCGTCCAAGAGTCCAACTCTGTACAAGATGCAACCATAGTTTCATGGTTCATTTTGGTCTCTTGATGACCTACATAGAACTAGGTTGCATGGTAATGTGTTGTACAAAATTTCTCTGTACAAGACATCTTTTCTTATCAAATAATGGATTTTGCTACCATTATTTATTTATGCATTAATAATGTTAGCGATGTGATATTGACATATTATCGAGACCATATTAGCAGTTCTCTTAAAAAGAGAAATTGTGTATGTACAATATGTTTCAAAGATTGATTTTCACACCCCCTTCTTCATTTCTAACCACTGAATTGAATCGATCATACAAAAATAATGACAAGATTAAACCGGAGTGTGTAGGAGGACAAATTCAGTGTGTGTTTATCATTTCCTTATGTTTCTCACTGCTCTTTCTTGAACTTGCTTAATGCAATAACTAGTTGTAAGAGGAACTTGCTTAACGGGGATAAGTACATAGAGTCTGAGAGGATGGTTGATTTGTATAAGAATATTTTGGCCCGAAAGAATGCTCAATATGCAACGGATTCATCACACTTCTCATGACAATGTATTCTTCAACTAAAATGTTATTAAAACCGTTTTATATGTCGCTGTTAGATTAGGAGGCAGATTCTCTGCCCTCCCACTTCCCGTGCCTTCCTGTGCCTTTCTGTTTGTGTGGTTATGGTTAAGTCACGTCAACATTTTATATTATTATTTATTTTTGTCTTATTATCTCTATAAAAAAAAATAATATAAAATGTTGACGTGGCTTAACCATGACTAAACAAAACAAAAGAGCACGAAAGAGTGAGGGTAGAGAATCTGCCTCCGTTAGATTAATCTTGATTTTTCTCTTATGTCACGTCGTTGTCATACACATAAATTTGAGCTGTACATTGTGTACGTTTGATTGTGATTACGAGTCAGATGAAATTTCATATAGTTCTAGGCATGGTCTAAAATATCCATAATAACCGGATATTTCCATCGAAATTTCCATGTTTTTGGATTACCGTTATTTTTTTGGACTACCGATATTTCCGATATCATCGATATTTTAGACATTGCTAAGTCACTCATGTATCTTACCATGCAATGTATAAAATGTAAAATATTGTACTAATTCATTATATATAAATGATTATGGTGTGTTTAAACTTCTTTTATTAATTACTACATATTTTAAACTTAAATCAGTTATATCTATCATGCAATGCATTTCCTTCCAATTTTTGTGATAAATTAATAGATAATTGACTAAATAAACATCCTGCAAAGTTTCAATAAAAATTTCCAAGTTTTTCTTATAATTTCCGTGGTTTTTATTCAATTTTTATCGATATCGATAATATTCCGATATTTCTATCGAAATTTCCGTATTTTTAAACTACCGATATTTCCAATATCATCGATATTTAATACTTTGGTTCTAGGCCTGAAAAACAAAAACAACCAGTTGTGAAACTCCCCTGCGCAATCACCCTATATCGCATGTAGGGTCAGAATCCCGGGTAACAGTTCAACCCCTGTTTCCCGCCATGAAAACTTGCATGATTTCATGTACAATCTCCAACGTACATCTCGCTGAAAAGCTAATGTCTACTTGTACCATCACCACCGTCCATCTTACTGCTCATCAGTGTGAAGTATTCAAAACCAACTCCTTGTTTATTAATTTTCAAAATAATTCATCGCATAATTATGTGTAAATATTACTAATTATCATATACCAAAATTAAACAAAAATAAAATTAAATGCAAAAGATAAAATCTTCCATTATATCCAGAAATCATCAAGCGGATGTTCCTATCCGATTCCAACCAAAAAAGGAACTGCAAAATACCATATAACCCTAATCATTCTAGATCCCCATCCCAAAATTCAAACTTTACACCTAAAACCCCTAAATCCATCCAAATCCCCAAATACCCATTTCCCAAGTTACCCCTTCACAACCCTAAGAGCTAGTAAACTTGGTCACCGCCTTAGTCCCCTCAGAGACGGCGTGCTTAGCAAGCTCACCGGGCAGCACCAGACGCACGGCCGTCTGTATCTCCCGGGAAGTGATCGTCGGCTTCTTGTTGTACCTCGCGAGCCGTGAGGACTCCTGGGCGAGCTTCTCGAAGATGTCGTTGATGAAGCTGTTCATGATCCCCATGGCCTTGCTGGAGATTCCGATATCGGGGTGGACCTGCTTCAGGACCTTGAAGATGTAGATCTTGTACGTCTCCACGCTCTTCTTCTATCTCTTCTTCTTCTCATCTCCGGCGGCGGCGGCTTCGCTCGGGAGCTTCTTCTCAGCTCGGGGCTTCTTCTCGGCGGGGGCCTTCTCGGGCTTCTTCTCCTCAGCGGGCTTCTTCTCTGCCGGCTTCTTCTCTGCCTTGGGAGCCATTGGTGTCCGATTCTCTAAAAACTTTGGGTTTGCAGAAAAGGGGGAAATACTGAGCGTTTTCAGACGAAGGTTGTGAGTAAATGAAGGGCGTTTGTTTGGGGTTCTGTATAAATAGGGGAAGGGGGTGAGGTTTGATTGGTTGGGTTTGTGAAACGCAGATCGCTGACGTGGAGTGGTTTGATTTTGGGAGGTTATATGGACGGTCGAGATCGGATATGTTTGAGCGGTAGAATTTTTGGGCTAATTTGTTTAGAAATTGTTTTTAAATTGGGATCTTGGATTCTTAGGACTTCTCCAATTATGGGCTAAAAGCCAAATTTCTCTTTCCCCCCAACAAATCCAACCAAACCCAAGTTAAAAAGTGAACCTAAAACTCAAAAAAGGGCCAAATATCGGCGGGCTAGAAATCGGTGTGGGGCCCACCTGAAAAGTGAGCTGTGAAGCCCACAAGCCGATCCCCACTTAACCAATGAGAACGCACCAGAGCCAATCCCAGCGGGACCCCACCCACGTGGGCGTGTCCCCCGCGTGTCAGCTCGGTCGGGTAGCCTAACGGCTACTTTTGTGATCCAACAGCCCACGTTCAATTTTTTTTTTTAGTTTTATATTTATATATTTATTGAATCCAACAGTTTAGATCGAACATAATCAAATCCAACAGTAAAAAAAAAAGATCTAATGGTCCAAATTTAAATCCAACAGCTAAAATAATTAAAAAAATTATTTAACTCAAAATTCACCCAAAAACTCTATAAATACATATGTATTTGTTCAAACATCCACACAAAACTCACTTTTCTCCTACAATTCTTCCAATTTTTCTTTCTACCATTTCTTCTCATTTCCAAAATTTTCAAAATGGCAAAAGAGCATATTAGAGGTCGTAATTGGACCTTTTGAGGAAGATATTGCTTTACGTTTGGCATGGGATTCTATTAGCAAAGATGGTGTCGTCGGCACGAATCAAAATAAAAAGGTTCTATGGGTAAAATTGTTGATAAGTTCCATGAAACTCCAATGTCGGACGAAGGGAAGGTGGTGGTGTTTATGATCAGTGGAATGTTATCAACAAAGCGTGCACTTTGTGGAACGAAAGCTTGAAGAGAGCCATGGTTGACATGGCTGGTGGAAAGAACGCCTCAGAAATTGTGAGTTTCTTTGTTGATATTTTATTTGTCATGTACATAATAGTATTTTGCAACTATTTGTTTTTATGTATTTGTTGCATAGGGTGACAAAGAAGTTGCGATTTACAAGACAAGAACTACACCAAAAAATCAAGCTTTTAAGTTGCATCATGCTTGGAACGTCCTCAAAGATTGTCCGAGGTGGGGAACTGATGCGGACCAAATATGGGGAAGATTATTTCAAAGTGAAGCCCCACCCCCAAATGATTTCAATGAAGGTGTGAATGAAGGTCTCGAACAAATGACCCCAACTTCTTCTTTTGCAAGACGCTCGGGAAGAGATAAGCAAAAGGAAGCAAGAGAAAAGGGAAATTCCAAGATCCCATACCGGATTTGCAAGATTGACCGAAAACCATAGCTCTCAGGAGGAAAAAGTTGCCCGAATATGTGTGGCTATGACGCACAAAGGGGCTAAGGAGCAAGAGAGGTTCAAAATTAATTTCATGATGGAGGACCTCAACAAATACACTCTAGAGAGGAAGAAGTACTTACGTGGTAAGCAAAAGGAAATTTTGCAAAGGTATGCCACAAGGAGTATATTTCAAGATGATGATTCATCTCAAGGCTATATCTTAAGTTCACCACCAAGTCAAGATGGTGGATATCATTATTAAGTTTATGTAGTTTCTGAGTTTTCAATTGTATTAAGTTTATGTGGTTTATTAATTATCCTTTTTTTTTTTGGGCAAAGTACAAAAAACTACCTCAACTATTGGTGTCATGACACTTTCATACCTCATCTTTTAAAATTGACAATGTCATACCTCATCTTACGAATTTGTGACAATGTCATACCTCCGTCAATTTTTCTGTTAATTTCTCAGTTAATTGCTGACTTGGCTTGATTCGGGACCCATTTTCTATTAAAAAGATTATTAAAAACTAAAAAAAATCATTTAATATTTTAAAATATTAAAATAATAAAGAAGGTTATTAAAAAAAATAAAAACCAAATAAAACTTCCCCCTGCACCCTCTCTCTTCTCCCCCATCTTCATCTCCCTTCATCTTCTTCCTACCTACTGCAACCCAGAAAAAAGAAAAGAAAAAAAAAAACAAAACAAAACAAAATTTGTCCCTTACCCCTAGGCGCCCTCTCTCTTCTCCCCCATCTTCATCTTCTTTCCTCTTCTTCCCCCTATTTGCTGCAACCCAGACAGAAAATACAAAAA